TTAGATAGTTTGTCAGTTTTGGTAGTTTTTAAGTTGTGACTTCAATAGTCCCCATCCTTGGTATCTTTATCGTCTATGTACTCCATAGAGAATTGAGGGTGAGAGTGTGCCCTACCCCCTGGCCCAGCTATAGCCACGGCGTCCGGGTCATACTCCACGGTCACCCTCTGACCTCTCCTGAGGACAGCACGGGCCACGGGGGAAGCGACGGCGACGCCCCTTGGTCCAGCCACTGCTTTGGCCACCGGCCTTAACATCAACTTTGTTGTCTTCTGCTTCTTCGTCTCAGAGGCTCGATCATTCTCTTGTTTTACTTTTTCATCCTCATTTTGCACATTCTTTTCTTCTGGTGTATCCAAATAACTTTTCAAAAACAACGGCCCATAAGCGCCAGGAGTGTTCAAATGTACCGGCATTCCTTTCTCAGAGTCTTTTAAAATAGAGTCTAATTTTTCTTGAGCCTCTTTATAGTCTACCGGTCTTTTAAGAACTTGTGCTACAGGATCGTCTGGAACTTGAGGAAACTTTTTCAGACTTTGCTGGAATGAAAAATCTACGTTGTCGAGATTTGGAGCATGAGGTACCCGGTATTTGAATGCGTAAGAGAACCCATCGCTCATATCTGGATGGTCTTTCATCAAAGTGTCCAATAGTGAGTATATTTTCGAGATTTGCTTTACCTTATCAGCATTTTTCTTTTCCTGTTCTTCAGGAATTTCAGTTGATTCTTCTGAATATTCTGAATTGTCTTTTTCACATTCTTTAGCTACCTCATCTTCTGGGGATGGCGTCTCTGTGGTGTTGAGTGGTGTAGACTCCTCAGGCACATTAGACTCCTCGGTCTTAACACCCCCGTTGGCAGGTCGTGTCAGCGGTGGCGCCTGGAGGTTGTACCTCTTCTGTAGCAGGTCCAGGAGTGCTAGGATGGGTCGGCGACGTCGTGGAGGCTGGTGGTGCAGGACGTCCGCCAACTCCGGAACCACTGGAGGGCTCTGGAGGGAGTACGGCTTGACATCGGGGGCGGGTACGAGTAGAGCATCGTAGTTGGGGATGTAGACCACTGGTCTGTGAGGAGTGTGGAACACCCAGAATCTACAACATAACAGTTCATACCCAGTTAGTAATGCAGTTTAAAAAAATAATATCATCTTAGTCTATTAATCTAATATACTAATATAATATTGCTATATTACATACTTTCATATCCAGTCGTTAAAGTAAAGTAAAAAGATAAATAACTTGTACAATTCACCTGTTTTAAAGTAAGGAACACTATACATTAATTTAGGAATAACACTGACCTCGAATGCATGCGTTAATAGTAAGAAAATAAACCGCACCCTCAGATCGCCAAAGTCAGATTAGTGGGAATCATTGTAAGAATTTTCTTTAGTGATCGTGCAGATTTTCGTACTATATCCTATCAATATTTAATACTATCGATGTTAAATATATCCTATTTCTTGTAACAGTTTTGCATAAAATATAATGTAGTATTAAACCATTTTAATGGACTGTAGGTTTTTAATATATTTGCAACGAACATTGCACCTTTTACACTATTTGCGATATTGTGTGCTATTAGTTCTTTTCTATGTTAAGTTAGCTTGTCTAAATGTTATTTAACTGTTTTATTTATCACTAAGTTAAAGGATGCAAATAGTAGTAGAGCAAAGAATGCGTTTCCTCGAATCCAATGTTATAATCCCATTAATGTCCGGAGTATTTTAGCTGTCAAATTATGCAATAATCCGCTTGGTTGGGTCCACATATGATAGAGCCCCAACCCTAACTAGAAAACGATAAAAGATGTAATTAATCGTGGATAACGGTATTGAGTTTGAAATGTTTTTCCACTAATAGCAATTTTAAATTGTTAACGATTAGAAAAAATACGTGTATGCAAATTTGAGTGCAAAATAATATTAAATTAATATATTTAACCTTCCCTTTCTTTTAGGAGGACTGATTAGAATATTTAAAGAGTTTAAAAAATAATCGAGGATATGGAAGAGTAGCTGAACCAGTTTTTTAAGACCTTGACATTATACAAGGTTTAATGTCAAGTACCAAAGCCACAACAGTCCCGATATGAGTTACACCGATATACTTATTTAAAACTCTTGTCTCCTGAAATAGAAGTCTTGTTCGTAAACAATTTAAAAATGTATGAGTGTTTATTTATTTGATCACTAAATCCAAATCCACCGCACTACCCCAACACCAAAAATCTTAAATTCCAGGTTAATTTACCTAAAAAAAAATAGTTATTTGAACATGTTAATTCATTCAGTTTATGAAATTTACTTACAATTTTGATGTAAGGCATGTGTTCCAGATGGTGTAGATTTCCATATTCGGCTTTTGATCTTATTTAACCAACTGATTCAGCACCTCTTAAACTTCAAAGGCTGTTGCATGAATGATCATGATCAACAACTACCTATACTGTTTAAATGGTTAATTCGGGTTTTACTGAACTTTTATTAGTTTTTAGTGAAATTAATCACGTGTATTAATAATTAATTATTAATACTATAATAATTAATACTATTACAGGGTGAATAAAAAGTCAAGACCCTCCCTATAATATTTTCCAAGTAAATATGCAGAGATATCCTTTTGGTGGTCGAGCAATCTTAGCAGGAAGTTTCGTTTTATCATTTTGAAATTTTTAAGTGTCCCCCCAAAAGGGGGGATTCGGGGGGCAACTCAAATATTTTAAATGTAAACCCCCTTCAAGTGACACCTTATTTTGAAGTGTTTACAAAAAATTAAAGAATTGTGAAAACTAGAGGTCGCTATCTCTTCTCTATCCAAAATGGTAGTCCGTCAAATGTTGTGGAAAATCAAAGGTAAAATTGTTTATATTGGCTGCCATTTTGGATAGAGAAGAGATAGCAAGCTCTGGTTTTCACCATTCTTTAAGTTTTTGTAAACACTTCAAAATGAGGTGTCACTTGATAGGGGTTTCTATTGAAACATTTTTAGTTGTCCCCCGAATCCCCCTTTTGGGGGGACACTCAAAAATTTTAAATGTAAACCCCCTTCAAGTGACACTTCATTTTGAAGTGTTTACAAAAACTTAAAGAATGGTGAAAACCAGAGCTCGCTATCTCTTCTCTATCCAAAATGGCAGCCAATATTAACAATTTTACCATTGATTTTCCACAACATTTGACGGGCTACCATTTTGGATAGAGAAGAGATAGCGACCTCTAGTTTTCACAATTCTTTAAGTTTTTGTAAACACTTCAAAATGAGGTGTCACTTGAAGAGGGTTTACGTTTAAAATATTTGAGTTGCCCCCCAAATCCCCCCTTTTGGGGGGACACTCAAAAATTTCAAAATGATAAAATGAAACTTCCTGCTAAGATCGCTCGACCACCAAAAGGATATCTCTGTATATTTACTTGGAAAAATATTAGAGGGGGGGTCTTGACTTTTTATTCACCCTGGTATAATAAATTAATAATTAACAGCCAATATGGATTCTGAGAATAGCCGTTGTATTTTGAGATTAAGTACAGCATTTTTATGCTCAACATTTAAAATCTATTAGGGATACGAGGACACTGTATCTTTATAAATACCAATATGAAGAAGCTGATTAATGAGATTTTACATGTTTGGTACGTTCAGAAATAACCTGTGGAAGCTAATATAAGTTTCGTATTTTTGTCACTCCCTTATAGGGCCCAAGGATGTTTGAAGAGCCCAATTGAAATCAATTACCATTTAAAATATAATATTCATGTTGACTAACTTATTGGATTTTAGTTTGGGTCTATATATCTTCACTGTGTTATTTAAAGTTTCAGCATTTAAATTGTCAAAGTTTAGCAAATTGAATATACAATTACCACACATTGAAGCCAAAGGTTGATAAAAGAACTTAATATTCTATAAATGTTTATTTTTACACGTGTGTCTTATTAATATTAAATGTACAGATCTAAATTAATATGATTAGTTTCTAACTAATTTTACGATCCTTAATCTATGCATTTCACTAGCTACAATGGCATCAACTCATTTACATCAATGAAAGTCAATATAATTTCTAGAAAGGTTTAATAATACTGAACAAAACTAATAAATAAAACTCTAAAATAATCATTAAATGGTTCTACGAACGAACGTAATCATACTTAACAGGAAAAGAGTAATCACAATTAGTTAATTAACTTAAATACTTCAATCACAATCAGTGATTAACAATACATATTTTATACGAAAATATATTATTGATTAACATGGCTGTCTTTTTTTCCATAGTTTTAAGTCATGATTTACTTGAACATGATTTACATGTATTCTATAACAATAATTTCATAAAAATATAAAATCTACTTTGGAGGTATCACAATAAAATAATTATTCCAATTCTTTATTGAGCATAAATTACAAAAACGTGTCATACATATGGCTTATATACATTGATTTATAAGGGACGCACTTATTTGATATACATCACTAATTTGAAAAAACAAGAAAACCCCTCAATTGAATAGTGGAACTACACCTAATCTTTTTAATAACAGCTCTTTAAGTGAAGTTTAGTATGAGTTGTTGACTATCCAACTAATTGTGTATGAAAAGCCAAAACAAAGAATTTGCAGCCCAGCTTAGAAAAAGGGAGAGATCATTGAATAATTCCCAGAAAATCTAAATCACCAAACAGAAACATTTTGCATTCTGTTTCAACCCGATGAAATTCCAGTACCTCAAGACTCAGGATTCCACTCCTGAAATTCGGAAATATATACAAACATTCATTGAAATAGAAACTACGTTTAAAGTGGTATTGCAGGATCAGGAATGTCTTCTTCGTCCAAAGGGTTGTCATAGTACACAATTGGTCCTTCCGCAACCGTCCTTGAGCCAGGGGGAGGTTCAAACTCCCTTGATTGTGTTCCATCGTAGTCTTTGGCGTAAAGTGAGAATTGAGGAACATGAACCACTTTACCACCCGGACCTACAACCGCTGTTCCTTCTCTAGTAGTGTACGCTGTTCCACCTGGACCCACAATTGCTGTTCCCCCAGATCCAGCTGTCGCGATTCCTCCTGGACCCGCAATGGCGACTCCTCCTTTTCGCACTTTCAATTTGGCAAACCTTGGAAAAAATGTGTCTTTGGGTGACGGAGATGATGTTTCTGAAGTACTAGAACTTCCTGGTGAGCTTCCAATTTTTCTTGTTGAGAAATCTATTTCAGTCACGTCATCGTCATCATCAACATCTCTTGATTTTTTGCTCTTCTTGCAAACATCCGCTGAAGGCCCGTATTCGACAATGTTGGTGATCCCAGCCCAAATTTCATTGAAAGGATTGTTGATGAGGATGGGAAAGTAATCGTCGAAGAGTCTATCGTTGCCAGATTTTGTGGTTTGCTTTTTAGAGTTTTTTGAAACAAAGGGGTTTGGAAGGTATACTACGGACTGGGAACTTTGTGGGGTTTGATAGAAAGCTGGATATGGTTGTTGGTTTTGCTGAGGATACAGGCCCATCGTTGAAGCTGGGTAGACTGGATATCCCTGTGGAATTCCAGGGTATTGTTGAAACGCTTGGTATTGCTGAAACTGCTGGTATTGTTGAGGATCAGGGATCATGGGTTTTATGACAGTCTCGTAGTGTTGTATCCTTCTAGTTATCGGTCTGTTTTCTTCATCAGATGCATCAGCTTCAGTTTCAGTAACCACTGCATCTTCTGTTTTCTCGTGAACATTACTTTCCTGGGGCTTTTGCGCCGCTTCAATCTGTAATTTATTTTCCTTCATTTCTTTAATTTTGTTAATATAATTTAGAATATTTTCTTCTTCTTTAGTTTGCGAAGAGTAGAACGACAACGGTTGAATGTTGTAGACAAACGGTTTGTCTAGATCTTCTTGCTCCTCTGATGGCACTTTATTCCTACTTTGGATATTTAAGCCATATTTTGAATTTTCGTCTGTTTCTCTTGCTTCAATGTCCAGAAGTTTGGAATTTTTATTTATTCCGCGGACTTCTTGATGTTTTGATGCATTCAAATTCTTATGCTCTTCTTCTACAGGCTTTCCGTCTTGTTCTTGACTTTTATGCTCCGTTTCATCGTTGACTTTTCCTCCCACTTCTTTCGTCTCTCTAAGTGGTCTGCTCACATCTTCACTCCCATCATACAGTAAGGCCACAGGGACTATGCCCCCTTTGAATTCTTCACTCGGTGATACAGGAATGCTTCGGGCCTTCTCCTCCCTGGAAAATAAATGCTTTCTGTATATTCATGTATTTACATAATAAATTTTGATTGATCACCAATAATCTAAGAAACCTTTTTATAGTTTGGCCATGGATTAAATATATGCAACGTTCAAGTGAAATACTGTATGAATGGATGAAAACTAGTGGTGGAACATAAATGTGTTTACAGTACACATACTATACAATCATCAACTTACGAGTACGTGGCTGTAAATATGTGAGTTTATCGACCAGCCGGTGACTCTGACTATTCATTAACCCTGAGGTCAAGGTCGATGTAAGCTGGTACAGGCTATATCTATTCAAACATGTAATGCCTATTAAACTGGCAACAGCCCCATGAAACAATTTTGAAAAAAAAAGATAAACAAGAACACATTTCTACATTTGTTGAAAAATTATTTAAAAATAGTTAATTAAAAGGTTTATTTAGTTTTCTTCTCGGAAAATATTTTGCTTGTATATTAAACATAGAATTGTTTTAAATTGGAGTTTTAAATCAGTCTTAAGTCAGCTGTGAGGGATTTTTGACCTAAAGCAAACCAATAGACAAGTAATAAATGTTTACAGTAATTTCATAAATACGCTAATATACACAACTAAAACAATGCCTTAATCATGCGGTTTTATTATTATAATAATTTATCCCCTTGATTAAAAACATGCTTAAAAGCCATCGAACAATATATCAGAATGCGTTTATTTTGAAATCTGATAACACCTCATAAGCGTTTTGACAAGCGAATGGCATGCATTAGGTACTTTAAACAAAGAAGGAAACTTACCTTAAACGAATCTTGAAAGTCCAATTAGTTCCATCAAACTATTTCTTTCTTTCTAAGAATCAGAATCAATTCAACATAAAAACTCTTACAGTGACGTGTTATCAAATTTCAAAATAAAATCGATTCGTCATACATGACTAGGATTATTTGTGGGAAATTGCCACAATGTAGAAATATTGCATCCCTTCCATGCATCTGTTCAACTCAAAATATTCTTTAACAGTGTACAAAGTTCTAAAAAATGTGTTTTAAAATAACACGTGTTACGTGTTTTAAAATAATAATGCATGGACATTGTTCATTAAAGATGAAGAATTCTGTATTTTCAACACCCCTTAGGATGATGCTTTTGAAATGTGTTGTGTATACCCCTACTTTTTCAACGATATTATTTTTGTAAAAAAATAATTTATTCATTAAGAACCTAAAATTGGTTTTTATTCTAGGGAAGATATCGAGTTATAAACTTTGGCTTCCTGAGGTTGCTGGATTGATATTTCAAATTAATCATCTTTGAAGTTTCAAGGTAAACTACAAAGAGCAGCTGTTAATAATTTAGATTTTATTTCTTTATTTATTTATATGTGTTGAGCAAAACAGAAACCTGCCGTGCTAAAAATAGAACCATCATCTTCTTTTTACCACACACGCTGCTCTGATTATACAGGTGTTATGATACTTATACTTTTTTATTTTTTTACAATTTTGATCAAAATTGTACGTTTCACCCTGTTTGATTAAATTAAGCATTCTATCTGCAAAACTAAAAGAATGTATTTGGATTTTTTATCCAATTGAATTCTAATTGTCTAAATATTTTACTTAAAAGAGGCCTATTTTCAAATTAGTTTCTTAGAGGTATTTTTTATGAGTAAGAACGAATTCTATCCTAGTCATTTTATTTTAAAAAGCTAGTTTTTAAATATTCCTATGTGTTTGAATAATGTCGTTTTTATAATCACTTGATGAAATTAACTCATTTCATTGGCAGATATTACAGCAAAGTAAATAAATAACTGGTATGTTGGTGTATATATATATATATATAATGTGTTTATTTAAAAGATTATAACGACATAAACTGACATATGTTTCATATAATACTTGATATCAAGCAACAGACCGATTTTTGGGACTAGAATAAAATAATTTAATAATAAGTCTATAATTTAAATATTACAAGTACAAGTAAAAATAATCTAGGGCCAAAGATTGCATATACAATTGGAAATTAGTTGCTGGAAGACTGAAGTAACTTTGTTATGTGATACTGCAATAAGATACTGCAGTAATTAACACGTTCGCTACCGAGCGACGCACATTTGCGTCGGTCCGGTCACTCTTAAAGGAATGATCATGACGTTGCGTACAGACCAAGTGATATAGGAATAACATTGCCGACAGACCAAAAGAGAAATATCGTTTAAATGGACTAATTGACTTCATAATAACCTTAAGTGAATTAGTAAGCAATAAATATTGTTTTTATTTTTCGTTATGAGCGAATTTTAAAACGCCGCATATATGCGTCGGTCAGTCTATTTAACGAAATCCAGTTAAAAATATTACATTTTCGTTTCAATAGACCAGGTCTCACGTAAGCGTCGTTGTAAATTTGGTTGTTTCAAACTTTTACACAAACAACTAAAGAAACTCCACTAAACACTAGCCAAAACTGCAAAGGTTATAACGTTTACATCTGTTCTGTGATGTCGCGGAATACACAATGTAAACAACAATGTTGCCAACTGTTGTGTGACGTAACCAATCGTCATATCCACGGACCAAGCGACGCACATTTGCGGCAGATATCCCTCTAGACCGATACGATAAAATCCGGGTTTTAAAATAGACCGTTGCTAAGAAATACGCTGTTTAATAACATTAGAATACCGACGCAAATGTGCGTCGTTAGTCCATTTCAATGTGACCAGCTGACGCAAATATGCGTCGGTGGTCTATTGTGAGAAACGAGTCGACGCACAATTGCGTCGCTGGTCTATGCGAACGTAAATTCCATATACTGTAATTGTGGTAGCGAACGTGTTAACCATACATAGTTATGTTAACTGGTGAATATCACATTAAAGCTATCAACCGACATTTCAATTATTCGATTATGCATATTATTGAAGTAATGTTTAAATATATTAATCAATCTCTACATCATATTAAATACCAACTAAAAATAGTTGGTATTTAATATGATGGACTTAGGACCGGTTTGGAGGCATAAGTGGTTTACTAAAAGAATTTGAGAGATCCATCAAAACTAAGTGGTTTCCAAAAACAAACACCTGAGCTAAAGTGAGAGTTACATAACATGGTGTCCATAGTTTGTAGACTAATGTAATAGTACAGATCCTTAGTTATTTGTTTCATTCATCAAGGATATGAAATTAAAATATACATTAATTAGCTATCTGGCAGATTGTCATTTAAAGGGGAGTCCCTCTTTTTGCAAAACGTTTGTGTGCGACGTATGAAGAAGCAATTGTGCATTTTTGAAGTGTAGTGTATTTAATTATTTCTTAAGTACTAAATAGCTACTGAGAAAATATACTTGATCGTTGGTTTTTGGCAACAACAAAAACTGTAGCTGTTAATAAGGAAACACTTTTTAAATTTCTAAAATTGTTTTAGAGACACGTTGGTAAGTTAAATGCTGTCTTTTTTGAGTGAACTGAGTTATATATCAAACACATCTTTCGTACCTTGAGTACAAAAAGCCAAGAAATGCACGCTTTGAATGTAATACATGTAATTTGAATGTATAAAACTCTTCCTTTCAAATTAAATTAGATAACCGATACATTATAGAAACGTCAAAGCACCAGGACTTGATTTTAACAAATCTATTTCAAAATAAACCATTACTTTATGCAAATTTAACTCTACAGCTGTGTTCCTGCCACTAGTATGTTTGTACATAAAGGATTCAACATTACAATCAAAAAATGGTTTTTAAGGATGTTAACATTATCTCTTTATACTAAATATAATATGAGATGCTTCAACCAACATCCCAATTTTGATTCCTGTGTTATTAACGGATTAATTTCCAAGTCGTTCATCTTGCCATTCATTGTACATGAGGAAGATTCTCTCATTATTAATTTTTTCCATGTCTTAAGAAATTTGGTAATCCATTTTTAATGAGGAATTTTCTTCGAGGTGCCCCGATAAACACGATGGAGCACTGTTGTACAGTAGTGCACATTTAGAAACTTGGGTTGTGGATTGCTAAAAAGGGAGGGATTGCATAGAAAGAAGAACCTAGTAGAAAATATTACTGTTGACACCAATAACCACTTTAACACACGGATATAATGTGGGATTTTTCTTGTTTATTTGTAAAACTATTTTGTATAGTTCAGATATAAAAATCAATGATTCTGATTCAATGTAGGAATATAAGCATCATGTGGCTGTCAGTGAATAATAGTTTTGAAAATTACCTTCACGAATATGCATTTTTGATTAGACAATTTAGCCATGCAGTTCGTTTAAAAAGATATTGCAAAAACTGCATCGGCTGGTTTTCTAACAACAACCAACAATAATGACAACCATCAGTCTATTCTGTTGTATAAAACAAACAAGGTTTTGAACACTCTAGTCGCTATACAGTTTAATGATGGGTTATTATTCAGCCACAATCCATCCCACACACTAGAGAACCTCACTTATCCGACACTAGCATTATCCGGAGGATAAGTACACGATGTGGTTTGATAATCGGTTAACTATTTCATTGTTTCGATCCGAAGTGTGAAGCAGGAAGAAGCCGTATGTTTTTTGTAGGGAAGGTGTAAAAATACACAATTTGTATAAAAGAGTGGTGTTGTATCAAACTTTTGGAAAGCTGGATGCAGGTACAATACATTTCGATTTATCTTTTTTAGTTGGTAATAAGAATTAGATTCTTGGATAATCTCGCACATTTGATTTTGTAAAGATAAAGCTTAACTATAGTAGATAGTTTTATTTAATACCAACGTAATTTTCTCGATGAATTTGTCAACATAAACAGGTTTTCACCATCCAAGCTTCCCTTTCAGTTTAAGCTTATGTGGTACAAGACTAGGTTCAAATCCTGTTCAGTAATGTCTTTAAGTTATTTGAAAATTCCGTAACCAGTTTTCGGAGACATCTTAAGCGCATGTAGATTCACAGATGGAATCAAATACACGTCTCTAAAGCGTAGATAGAGATAAAGAAAGGTAAAATACCCCCGCCACAGCAAACCTGCCGACTAAGCGAATTTCCAGTTTCCTGAATTGATTTTCAATTAAATGTATTTAATTATCATTAATTTTTATGAGTACATAGGCTTGATGCTACAGGGAGGGTAAAAAAGTGTGTTTTTGGAGAAATATTAATAACTTAGTATAAAATAAATAAATTTACCAAGTTTGATCAAAATATATCCATAAACAAACAGACTACAACATTTTACAATATTCCCCATAAGAATAACATGGGAATTTTAAAATAACAATTATTTGAGTTTTCTCCGTAACTAATAATAGTACAAAAACACTTTGATATACTAAATTATTTGTTTTTTTAAGCTCTTTAAGAAGGTCTGAAGAGAAATTGGGAAATTTTGCGTTTGGAGGGTCAAAAATTAGAAAAACCAATTTTTACCCCATAAAACCCCCCGTAAAACCCCGTTCCCATGGTCCGATCATGCTGGTTCGCGAACTCATTCAAGTTTATCCCGCCTTACACCTTCAAACCAAATTTCATCAAAATCGGATAAAAATTACTCAAGTTATCGTGTTCACGGACACACATATATATATATATATATATATATATATATATATATATATATATATATATATATATATATACAGGGTGAGTTTTAATTGTCCCCCCCCCAACTTTTTTCTACATTTTTTCAAATATCAATCCCAGACCACTTCCAAACATTGTTGGGTAGTAAGTACTTCATTTTGACAAGGTGGCCATTTCCGGCCGCCATCTTGGATCCGCCATATTGGATGCAAAATTTTTTTTTCAAATGTAAAGGTGGGGTTGTGACCCATTATTTCGAACTACATTTTTACCCTGATTACAATGCCGCAAACCGTTTAAAAAAATCTTGATTCATTCTAAAGTTATGAGGGCTTTTTAAAACTTTATTTTTAGCCCATTTTAACATTGTGCATTTACAAACTAAGACCATAATCTCAAAATAGTGCTAGATAAAGATAAGTATACACTACCAGTAATTGTCGACCTATTTTCACTTGGTTATGACTGATGTATTTTTTTCGGCCGCCATCTTGGATCCGCCATTTTGAAATGTGATAAATTATCTTAAATATGAAGGGGGTGTTGTGACCCATCATTTCGAACTACTTTTTTAAGCTGAAGACAATGCCGCAATCCATTTTTTGTTATCAAGTTTTATTTATGAAATATTGAAATTTTTTTGTTAAAAATGTCAATATTTCAAAATCAAAAAATGAAAATGAAAAAGGGATCATGGAATTAAGTTCAGCTTAAAAAAGTAGTTCGAAATGATGGGTCACAACGCCCCCTTCATATTTAATATAATTTATCACATTTCAAAATGGCGGATCCAAGATGGCGGCCGAAAAAAATACATCAGTCATAACCAAGTGAAAATAGGTCGACAATTACTGGTAGTGTATACTTATCTTTATCTAGCACTATTTTGAGATTATGGTCTTAGTTTGTAAATGCACAATGTTAAAATGGGCTAAAAATAAAGTTTTAAAAAGCCCGCATAACTTTAGAATGAATCAAGATTTTTTTAAACGGTTTGCGGCATTGTAATCAGGGTAAAAATGTAGTTCGAAATAATGGGTCACAACCCCACCTTTACATTTGAAAAAAAAATTTTGCATCCAATATGGCGGATCCAAGATGGCGGCCGGAAATGGCCACCTTGTCAAAATGAAGTACTTACTACCCAACAATGTTTGGAAGTGGTCTGGGATTGATATTTGAAAAAAATGTAGAAAAAAGTTGGGGGGGGGACAATTAAAACTCACCCTGTATACTAGCTGTACCCGCGGGCTTTGCCCCGTTTAACTTCACAAGTATTCGCATGGCTCAATCACGTCCTGGTTGAAGTTCGTTCGCTACGCTCACTCACCTTTAGGTTGGAGCTCGTTCGCTGCGCTCACTTTCCTTCAGGTTAGCTCGTTCGCTACGCCAACTCGCCTCCAGGTTGAAGTTCGTTCGCTACGCTCACTCACCTTTTGGTTGCAAATTAGCTGTTGTCATAGATAAAAAAAATAATAGTGCTACACCCTGTTGGTAATCCTTGTAACTTTAATGCTATTGAACATCATAGAACAGAACCAACTTGTTTAAATGAAACAGCTGTTAAGATTCATTAATTCCTTTTAAATATGAAAAATCATAAGGTTAACATGGGAAACTCCAGAGCCACTGGGGCGGAGCCTGAAAGCCCGATCAGGATAAAAACTACTTAGTTTTCCTATTTAATACCCAAAGAATCGTTGTACCGAATTTCAGCCTCCTAGGTAAATGGGAAGTGGGAGAATTAGTGATGAGTGAGTGAGTGAGTGAGTCAGTGAGGGCTTTGCCTTTTATATATTTAGATATATATATATAAATCTATATTACTAAGCAAATCAAAATACCACAGTACCCTAAAAATTTGACAAATTTGACCATTTTTCAAAATCAAGGATAAAATCGCATGAGGTACGAAAATATAAAATACTCACAGAAAAAATGAATAGTACTAAAAACTGACTAAGTTGAATAAACTAAACGAATTTTTCACAAAAGAGAGTAATTTTAATATAAAAATTAAACTAATTAAAAATAATGATACCCTACACATGCATTGGGGTACAGTGTATAGAAATCACTACTAAAAAACTGACAAATTTGACCATTTTTCAAAATCAAGGATAAAATCGCATGAGGTACGAAAATATAAAATACTCGTAAGGAATAAAAATTAAAAAACCATGTACTATTTTACTAAGAATTAAGTGAATGCACTGTTTTATGTCATAACTCAAACTCAACTAGAGTCGGCTGGATCCTACTTGGATCAACTATGCCAGGGGGAATTACTGTTACATCTGCCCCTGAATCAATTTTAAATGTTTTTTAAGTATACATTTAATTCATTTAATTTTTAGGGTACTGTGGTATTTTGATTTGCTTAGTAACATTTAAAGTAGCCCTCATTGATGTATACAATAACAAAATAAATCTATATATATATATATATATATATATATACATATATAAAAATTTGAACGAATGGTGTGTCTGGCCTCTGGGGACATCAAAATGAAAAAGTAAATCGGTCCCGGGCCTAGGTCTTACCATGCCACCTACGGTAATAACTACTTCCCTATAGGGAAATTCGCTAAAATGTAAGGTAAAGATATGTCTCTAAAGCATGAGGAAGTAATTTCTTATTACATGGTTTCTTCCAATGTTTTCTCAAAGTATTGACATCTGAAATAGCAAAGTGTTTTCAGCGCATTTGTCTGTATGAAATAAGCTTACCACCTAAACAAACAGTACAGTATTTAAAACTAGATGCCTTAATGATTTAATTGTTATTGACTGTTTACGGCGTTCAATTAAAAATGTATAGGGGTGTTTATTAAAAAAAATCCAACTACTCACATTTTACCTATCCATAATTTTTTGCTCGTTTGAGCAATATTGACTAGATGAATACTGCATCATTTATAGTCAATAGCCACGATTTGTAACCACAAACGTAATAGTTATTGCTTTGCCCTCATATTACTTACGGGTTGCTTCCATCGAGGACAGTTTGAGCTCTGCTGTCTCGTTCATGGGTCTGGGTCTGGGTGTTAGGTCTTGCTACTACAATTACTGCGAGGACAGCCAACCAGCATACCTGGAACATAGACAAAGAGGGTTAAGATGTCTCAGTAAAAACATAAAAAGAACGCAGATACCTTACAATTAAAACAGTTTCTGTGGTTAGTTAAGAAAATGACTTGTTTGGGGGAGTTTGGGACTGGTGGAATGAAATAAAAATGTTTTTTATTTGACAGTTGATTTTATTGGGCATCTTTCTAATTAGTTTTAAATTTTTTGTCTTACTAGATAAACTAGGAATTTGTCATAAAAATATAATAATAAAACCCATATAACCATATTTAAGGCTCTCAGGGATTTCATATACTCATTTGTGTATACGTATGTATCATATTACATAAGTACTGCCTTCTTATGTGTTTGTCCGGAGCTAGAAAAAGGTCACGAAACGTTATTTACTTTGATGCATGTTTATTTACATTAGGTGTTCAAAATAAGGTCTCATTGTTTCTTTGAATCTTAATGTGACTACAGCAAACTTTATTTTATCTACCTTGAAACTTGTCCTCCTACTTAACTTACACTAAGCAACAAGATAAATACGAGGAAAATTATTTTTCTTAAGTTTAAAATCAAACCCATATTTACACACACAAAACCACAGCTAAAAGTCCAAGATAAGCCAAACAAACTTGACCTTACATAAAGTGTACATCCTTATTCCTTGCAGACAAATCATGCAAAGTTATGCATACAAGTTATGCGGGTTGATTGGCAGCCACGTGCTCACCTCACAATGAGGTTAGTTTTGCCGCGGGTGGACAAAAAGGCGGGTATTGTTGCGAGGCTGATGTACTCAACTATGTAGCCCCGCAATAGGCGCAATTTGGTCCTACAATGGCGAGGTTTTGTTAGGCAGATGAGAAGAGACCCGCGGGTCATCGGTCGACGACTCATGAGCAAGAGGGTGTGGTTAGATGGGACTGATGTTGACCGGTGAAGGATGTTGTAAAATGTACAAACACAATTAAAAATGTGTACTAAAAGAGTAAGGAGAAACTTGAAAATCCAATTTCAAAATATAATTCCACACATATTGCACATAGGTTCATTTTGGACAAATATCATTTTTTTTCTTAAGAGAATCGTCTCTAAGGAGCAAACCAAAGCATAAATGCTGGAAAAATGGTAAATGGTAAATGCTGATATTTATCATACCAATCGCATCATTCCTTGTGATCTGGAATTCGCACTAATATCGGAAACTTATCTAACTTATTAGCGAGGCTAGGAATTCAATTATGTGTATGAATTACGTTTTACCTACGATTGGTTGGGGTTTTAAAATATTCGAATTTAGAATTAAATTAGCTGATTTGACAAGTAAAAACTATAATTTTCGTTTAAACTAGTTTAAAATTGTGCATACAGTACTTCTGATAATTTTTATTGCAAATGTTTGTAAAGATTTATTGACCTTTATCACTTTTACGATGTATATTTAAAAAATGTGAGATTTTTTTATTGAATTGAAGTTAAAAGCGTTCTCTTTTTCAGGGCTAAGAGCATGGTCTGGTGATTTATACACAGATTTGGCAATAAAAGGGGAGACAATTTAGTTTATGCAATATCTTTTATGCAAATTTTCTTATGGTTGGAATTGAAATCTCGTTTGACTAGCTATCAGTGATATTTGATAACGCACATGGCAAAATAAGCCACGCCTGAATACATAACTAGGAGAAGCAGCAAGCCAGTTAGTTACATACATTTTTACATTTTGTTTTTATTTTATTGATTATCAAATAGTAATACCATCGTAATCTAGGCTGCTACAAAAAATAATAGTTCACTATCCATTACGGAATTTTTATGAGGAATAGTCATTATTCTCACAACACAGCAAGTTCTGTAATTTAAGGATAATTAATTCAGGTACTTTGAGAAAATATAACCATTTGTAAAATGTCAAACATTCCTTAAGTTGTGAGTATTTTTATACAAAGCATACAAAGTTACATACAAAGCATCTTACAAGAATGGTAAGTTAATGAAAGAAATCGTATAGGAAATTTATCGGGTGAGTCCCTTAAAATAATGAAAAATGAACACAATGGCTGTTATTTAAGAGCAATGTTGGTGCACATGAAATAAGGCAATCTCTAATTGCACGTTTGAAACAATCAGTAGTCACTCTCGGTTCCCAGAAGGCAACGGAACTTTTCCGGCGTTACTGCATACCTTGCCATGTGTTGGGAGCGAATTATCTACAAGATATTCATTTCACACTGTGGGTTGAAGTTACAGTATTTCGGAAACCCTTCCGCTGTCACTTAATATTTACTTTGGATCTCCCCCGGCCACAAACTAACTTCAATCCTGTTGCACTATATAATGAAACAATGAGAATCACAACAATATGTATGTAGATCTCAGAACTATTGATGTTTTGGATACAAGTGATCTCAATCCTCAGAACATTCTCCACACGTTGTTCAATGTCTTATTGCGGACATTTTACATGACAGTGGTAACAAAACACAACGTTTCGGGATCTGGGAAATGATCCCGTCCTCAGGTGAAAAAACTTAACTAACTAACAATACAGAAAAGCCCAACCTAAGTTGAAATACAACAGACAGTAGCAGACAAATATATCCACCGTAAAGCAGTCAAGTCATGACACAACATGAAACGAATCAACCAATCAAATAACACAAAAAGTCTATAAGATTTAGGGTAAATAGAACAAAATTGAACACTTAGTTCCATGTACTTTACTCTACATCTTAAATAGACTTAAGGAACATCCATGTTAGATTATGTTTCAAACCTATTAGCAACATCGAAGAGGAAGAGCGTTTATCAAATAGATCTCAAAGTCTACGATGATTATTCCATTAACCATAAAACATCAAACTCCTTCCTTGAAACTTGAACGTGCTTATTAAACCCATTACAAGTTCACAAGTTCATCTACTTCCTTATACTTTTTTACACAGGTTAAACTGGTTAAACAATTAAGGCTGATGAAGACTTCTACGCAATAAAGATAATTCCAACCTAGTATCATGAGTTTATTAATTTAACAGCTTAATTAGCTTCCTGAAGATGTTAAAGTGGTTGTTTGAGTTACCATTTCAGACCTGTGTGACCGGTCGAGTTTTGTGTAGACGGTGTATATTACCTTGCCCATAAACTCCCACCTAGGGTCACTAACTCCTGTAGGAGTAGAAGGATGGATTCACACTGGGTTTCATTGAACCCTACCTTTTTTGGGAGGTGTGAATTTAATTTGCCAGATGTGTGGTGACACTATAAACTTGTCTTTTGTGATTTGCATGTTTGACTTTCTGATTTGGATGCTAATACTTGCTCCTGTATCTGTTTTTACTTTGGCGATGGCTACGCAAAAGGAATGCCTTTTTTGTTTGTCATTAGTCAATTTCTTTATACCAGAAATTACAAAATGTAATGCATGGAAAATTCAAGTTACACACTAATCAACTGAACATGACTCGCTTCAGTACGAAAAACTTAATGGAAAAATTTGTTTGGTTAAATATAACAGAAATACAACTACATGTCAGCGAAGAAATCTGAAACCATTCACTAATAAATTCTTTAGTTGTTTTCTAAGCCCGGGCAAATTAGGCTCTAGTAAGATAGTGAGGGAGATTGTTCAAAAGTTTTAATCATTTGTGCAAAAGGTTATGTTGACAAAATTAAATTGAACAGACAGGTATTTTCATGTTGTAGGCTAAGATTTGTGTAAGAAAACTGATGTTTTTCCAGATAAGATGGCTTTACATGACGGACGAGTCAATTTCTATACTTATTTCACACGTTTTCATTTAGAGGTACGTTTTATCAACCAACAAAGGAAACCCAAGTTGACCAATGTGATGAAAATGATTCATCTTCGTTTGACACAGTGATCCAGAGACAAACATTTAAAACATGAAGTTAAAAGAAGAGATCAATACGATCCCTTATCTTGATTTATTTCTATAGTTTAGAAGACTTATTTTTAGTTTATTATTGGCGAAGTAAAACATTTAGGGTGCTGGGAGTGGTTTTCATACGAGCAGTGTGCTGTGTATTCAAAGCATCCTTTATCACAGAATCCCCCCCCCCCATCAGTATAGGAATCAGTTTTTTGTATGTTTTAATGAACTTTATCAAATAACAATAGTTTAAATTCATTTAAAGTTTGTGATAGAACCCATAAAAGGTCAAATAACATGACTAAACGAATCAAAGCAAAGAAAATCGAAGAAAGACAGATTTTGAATTTAATTTTGATGGCAAAAATCAAGCGATATTCGTTTCATCGTAATTATTGAACTTGAAAAATTATGGTATCTAAGATGATAATTCTGGCACTTTTCGTATAATTGGCGTAATCTGAGTATGCTAATTCTGGGACCACGCCTCTCCATTATGAGATAACTCCACCTCGGCATTAAGATTCAGGATGACATTTTGGCAGCCTTGGCGACCATTGCTACCAACCTTGCACGCTTATCGACGAATATGGCAATGATATCATACAAAATGATTCGTCGAATAACAACGCCGGCCGTGTTAAACATTGGTAGCATTGTACCATAGATTGGAAGGATGAAAATTATAACATTTTCATATGAATTTGAGGTTAATTTAATCACATTCTGTGTAATCTATTTGCTGAATACAAGATTTAACCGACGATGTGATGTAATCGTTACTATACCATTGTAAACTTATTCAAATATTCTATACATTAGATTAAATAAACATTTGATAATCATATATCAGTCATCAATCTTATGATGTAGTTATTACTAAGTAAACTTAAATGTTTGTATCACATCAATTTTAAGAAGAAAAAACATATATAACGGGAAACTAATTTATAACAAATATTAAATAATCTTTACTGTATTATAGTTATACGAAAACCGTAAATACTTGTTATAATGTGTCTAAATCTGTTATAATCTCTAGGGATACATTTTCTTAGATAGTGGTTATTAAAGCTTTAAAACAAATAAAAAAATTTTCAATTCATTCGAGTAGTTTTCACATATATTTGCATGCAATATATGTGTTATATTCAAGTAATTTAGTATTTCAACAGTATAAATAAAACTACCGGTATTATAGAACTCATTCAAATGTGAGATGAGCAAAAGGCATTGCCAGTTTTAAAATGTAATCAAAACCATTTAAGCAAACATAGAAAGTATGGCTTCATACAGATTTAGGTTATTAATACTCAATAATATATTACTTAAAAGTGCTATTAATTATTTACGGAGTTAGTTAGAAGCCTAAGATATAAATTTGAAATGAAGATAGTGCAAATAGAACTCGAACTAATCTAAAGCCCAACACATCACACTAAAGAAACCAACCCGAATTAATATCTATACGTTAACCTTACAAACTGTAGCCTAACAATTGATCAGCTGTTCACAAACATACAGCTCACGATCAGCTGTTAGTTGACATTGGCAATGACCTGTACTTACCGGTAGAAGGGCCCCCATCATGTGTACAGCGCGGCGGCGACCTAGCAAGCTTTTGAACCTGTTCCGAGGATGCTCCGAGTCCCCCTGCCCCTCCCACCGGGCACCCCTGGTGGGTAATATCACTATTATCCCTGGAGGATCGAAATTATGTAGCGTATGGAGTCGAAGCAAATAACCATGTTTATGTAGATGGTCAAAACTATTCGTTACGTATACGATTTTTCAACAATAGTTTATTTATTAACTAAATGGTTGGCTAGAGAACCAAAAGGTTCAACATAATTGGAAGATTTAATTTGCTATGAAAAAAGGCTCAGCTTGAATGATGGGATTTTAATGAATCGTCGTACATAAGCAAATAACTGATTTTATTCTGTAAAAACGCAGTTTAAAACATTTTATTCTATTGAAACGCACCTTCCATTCACATTGAGAATAAATACCATCCTAGGTGGGCTTTATTGTCTTACAATAAAAATTACCTTTATGAAATAAAACTTCCTCTGAAACGAAAATGATTTGAAGAAATTTGAGAATGTTTTTGCTAGAAATGTTATTGGGCCGGATCAGTTATTTATTAAAATATAAGTTTGGTTTTATTGATAAGTATTAAGGTTTGAACACTGGAAAATAATGTACCTTATTAGGATGCAAAAGAGGTATTGAATTTGTTGAACAAATGTAACTTATAAATATAACTACGTGAAAACAATATTCAGGAGTACAAGGCAATAATAGTTATTATGTGGTACCTAAGGCAGTTTCCACTAGCGTTACACATTATATTTTTGCTACAGTTACTATAAAGACTCGATGTTTTGTGTTGTTTGGTTGGGATAATGGTGTGCGGAAAAAACTATGCGACAATAGTAAGTAGGTGCAGCAACTAGCTACTGTTTGTGCTATAATCAGTGCAAGGAAGGCCACTTTGTCAGGTGACTGAAGAAAAAATAAATTGCGATGTTACTTGCGGTTTATAATATGTAAAAAAAAATATTACATGAAAATAACCTTTCATGCCTGTGAGTTTTTTGTTTTGTTTTGTTTTGTTTTACAGTTCCGGTATAAAAATTTTAAATCTGGTAGACTTTTATATATCTTAATTTGAGCTAATTTCTATTACCTATTTAAATATTGAAGAGTACCTTTAAATGAATTCGACAACCTGAAGAGAAGGACCATGAAGCTTAAGGAATTTCAAAAAATTATAGTGCGTATATTATGAGTTTCTCAATAATTTAGTTTACGAAATGACACATAATTGTTAAAGTTAAACTTTTATATACAGGATGTCCCTTAACTCTCTGGACCCTTGTATATATCGTTATTCCTTAGGTCAAGACAAACACATTTCACCATAGGAACATGGGTCTGTGGTATCTAATTTACTGACTGTCGGTATTTATGTGTTTTTTACAAAAAAACTATTAACTCCTAAACGGTTTGAGATACAGCTTTGATATTTTGCAAAAATGTCAATCTTATTAAGACCTATTATCGTTAGAAATTATACTAAAAATTCATTAACCGTTTCAAAATGGCGGCCATTTAAAATACTTGATGCCAAATTTCACGAAAACCGTTAACTTTACAAAAAAACTTACAAGAGACAAAAAAGTCTGTAAATTGTATGTAGTTTTCAATGATACCTTATTTGTTAAGATTGGATAAATAATAACAGAGAAACGTGTTGTTTTCGTAATGTATGACCACTTTTCTCCATTTAAACAATGCTAAACAACGTAAAAAACGTGGAGAAAAGTGGTCATACATTACGAAAAAAGACACGTTTCTCTGTTATTATTTATCCAATCTTATCCAATTTGTTGTTCAAAGGTTTATTGCGGACATTTTCCATCACGAATGTCCGCAATAAACCTTTGAACAACATTAACTCACCAACTCACCAACAATGAGCTTCAAACAAAGAATTATCCAATTTTTTGTAAATTTAACGTTTTTCGTGAAATCTGGCATCAAATATTTTAAATGACCGCCATTTTGAAACGGTTAATAATTTTTTTAGTATGATTTCTAACGATAATAGGTCTTAATAAAATTAACATTTTTGCAAAATATCAAAGCTGTATCTCAAACCGTTTAGGAGTTATTTATTCATGTTTTTGTAAAAAACACATAAATGCCGACGGTCGGTAAAATAGACACCAAGGACCCATGTTCCTATGGTGAAATGTGTTTGTCTTGACCTAAGTAATAACGCTATATACATGTGTCCAAAGAGTTAGGGACACCCTGTATGTTGTGCTCAATTGATCAGGGGTCTTTTTCGTTATAAAACAATAGAAATATAAAGCTTTATGGTCGTAGCATATAATCTTCAAACATTACAAATATTATCATAATACAGTATAAGTTTTAGTAGTAAGTATTGCCTGGCCCCTTTAAAAATCTTCCATAGCAGGTAAAAAAACATAAATGTCCAATACAGTTCGCAAAATTCCCTAGTTCATTGGTAAAGAATCTGACACTGTTTTGCAATCTATTAGATCGTTAAAGCCTTTAAGAAAAATCGTTAAATTTACTTGTTGAATCTTGCAATTGTATCTCACAAAGGTCTTTAAAGTCTATCATTTTTTCTCGTGAATGATACCCATACAAATCGCTACATTCCCCTATTGAATATTGGTGTAGTATGTCACAAAGCTCGTCAAAGCTAACTCTTTATAGTTCGTTAAAGTCCCCCATGCATATCGTCAAATCCCTTTAGTGAATCTTGGTGTAGTTTCTCACAAAAGCTCGTCAAAATTTACTCTTTATAGTTGGTTAAAGTCTCCCATGCATATCGTCAAATCCCTTTAGTGAATCTTGTTGTAGTATCTCACAAAGCTCGTCAAAGTTTACTCTTTATAGTTCGTTAAAGTCTCCCATGCATATCGTTAAATCCCTTTAGTGAATCTTGGTGTAGTATCTCACAAATCTCGTCAAAGTTTACTCTTTTTAGTTCGTTAAAGTCTCCCATGCATATCGTCAAATCCCTTTAGTGAATCTTGGTGTAGTATCTCGCAAAGCTCGTCAAATTTTACTCTTTATAGTTCGATAAATGTCTCCCATGCATATCGTCAAATCTCTTTAGTGAATCTTGGTGTAGTATCTCACAAAGCTCGTCAAAGTTTACTCTTTATAGTTCGTTAAAGTCTCCCAAGCATCTCGTTGAATCCCCTTATTGAATCTTGGTGTAGTATGTCACAAAGCTCGTCAAAGCTAACTCTTTATAGTTTGTTAAAGTCTCCCATGCATATCGTCAAATCCCTTTAGTGAATCTTGGTGTAGTATCTCACAAAGCTCGTCAAAGTTTACTCTTTATAGTTCGTTAAAGTCTCCCATGCATCTCGTTGAATCCCCTTATTGAATCTTGGTGTAGTATGTCACGAAGCTCGTCAAAGCTAACTCTTTATAGTTCGTTAAAGTCTCCCATGCATATCGTCAAATCCCTTTAGTGAATCATCTCACAAAAATCGTCAAATCTTACTCTTTATAGTTCGTTAAAGTCTCCAATGCATCTCGTTGAATCCCCATATTGAATTTTGTTGTAGTACATATCTCACAAAGCTCGTCAAAGTTTACACCTTATAGTTAGTTAAAGTCCCCCATGCATCTCGTTGAATCCCCTTATTGCATCTTGGTGTAATATGTCACAAATCTCATCAAAGTTTACTCTTTATAGTTCGTTAAAGTCTTCCATTCATCTCGTCAAATACCCTTTTTGAATCTTGGTGTAGAATCTAACAAAGCTCGTCAATGTTCACTCTTAATAGTTTGTTAAAGTCTCCCATGCATTAAGTCGAATCCCCTTATAGAATATTGATGTAGTATCCTACAAAGATCGTCATCGTTCACTCTTTTATTTCGTTAAGGCTCCCATACCTCTCGTAGAATTACCTTATGGAATATTGGAGTAGTATCTCACAAAGCTCGTCAATGTTCAATCTTTATAGTTCGTTAAAGTATCCAATGCATCTCGTAAAGTCCCCTTTTTGAATCTTGGTTTAGTATCTCACAAAGCTCGTCAATGATGGCACAACACAGTTGGCCAACGGTAGAAATGTAACATCTTTAAACTGGTTTCCAACCAACCATTGTCCAACAATGGCCCAACCATCCAAAAATACTGATGGCCAACTAACCATAACACAACTTATATTCAACCAACCGTTTTATAAAAAAAAAAAAAAAGATTTAGTATGAAAAAGCATAATTATTAGTTGAGTAAATTGATTAAATAGTTCATAAAAACAAATTTTGAAAAAATTTAGAACAACATTTTTCAATTCAGACGGGTCAAATCCCCTTATTGAATCTTGGTTAACTCACAAAGCTCGTCAATGTTCACACTTTATAGTTCGTTAAAGTCTCCCATGCATCTCGTCGAATCCCCTTATTGAATATTGGAGTAGTATCCCACAAAGCTCATCAATTTTCACACTTTTGGTTCGTTAAAGTCTCCCATTCCTCTGGTCGAATCCCCTTATTCAATCTTGGTGAAGTATATCACAAAGATCGTAAAAGTTCATTTTTATAGTCCGTTAAAGTCTCCCATGCATCTCGTCAAATCCCATTATTGAATCAAAGTGTGGTATATCACAAAGCTTGTCAATGTTCACTGTTTTAGTTCGTTAAAATCTCCCATGCATCTCGTCGAATCCCCTTATTGAATCTTGGTGTAGTATCTCACAAAGCTCGTCAATGTTCACTCTTTATAGTTCGTTAAAGTCTCACATGTATCTCGTCAAATTCCCTTATTGAATCATGGTGTAGTATCTCACAAGGCTCGTAAAAGCTTAATCTTTATAGTTCGTTAAAGTCTCTGATGCATCTCGTCGAATCCCCTTAATGAATATTGGTGTCGTATCTTACAAAGCTCGCAAAATTTCACCCTTTATAGTTCGTTAAAGTCTCCCATGCATCTCGACAAATCCCCTCATTAAATATTGGTTTAGTATCTCACAAAGCTCGTAAAATGTCATCCTTTATAGTTCGTTAAGTATCCCATGCATCACGTCGAATCCCCTTATTGAATATTGGAGTACTATCTCACAAAGTT